CCTGCTGCTGCTGCTCCTGCTGCTGCTGTTGCTGCTGCTGCTGCTGCTGCTGCTGCTGCTGCTGCTGCTGGTTTGTGCTGCTGTTAGAGTCAAGAGACAGCAAACTAAAGGGGGCCAGCACCAGCAACGAAAGCCAAGCGAAGAGGGAGAAGACACAGCTCCATAGCGGCGCGCTGTTCATACAAACTGCAGCAGCAGTTGCTTCTGCTGCTGCTGCTGCTGCTGCTGCTTCTTGTGCAGCTCCTGCAAGGGGTTCGTCGCTACTCGGATGTTGCTCCGGCTGGACCTCCTCCTGCTGCTGCTCCTGCTGCTCCTGCTGCTGCTCCTGCTGCTGCTGCTGCTGCTGCTTTTGCTGCTGCTGCTGCAGGGCATCTGCAGCAGCTAACACCTGCTCCAGCAGCTCTGGCTCCTGCGGCAGCAGCGAGCGAATGGCCTTGGTTCCCCTCACCTTGCAGTGTATGTACACCAGGTGCAGCAGCACACGAACGCAGCAGCAAGTAACCGCAGCTGCCCACCTGCAACGAACTAACTTGTCCCCCTGCTGCTGCTGCTGCTGCTCCTGCTGCTCCTGCTGCTGCTGCTGCTGCTGCTGCTGCTGTGCTTGCTGCGTCAGCAGCAGCAGGTTGCTCCTGATAGGCTGCACTACTACTTCTAGCTGCTGAGGGAGATGGGGGTCCAGCAGCTGCGGCTGCTCCTGGTACCGCTCAAGTGTATAGACAACATCTGCAGCAATGCTGCAGAAGCATCGCAGCCACCTCTTTACATTGAATACTGTTAAAGGCTCCATATCTGCTGCTGCTGCTGCTGCTTCTGCTGCTGCTGCTGCTGCAGTCGGTGCCCCAGAACCACTACCCGGAAACGGGTTGCTTGACGCAGACGCATGAGAAGCTGTTGCTGCTGCTGTTTGCGGCGCTGCTGCTGCTGCTGGTGCTGCTGCTGCTGCTGGTTCTGCTCTCTTATATGTAGAGGGATCCTCAGCAGCAAGTGCTGCTGCCTCCTGCGTGAGACTGGATAGCAGCTGCAGCTGCTGCAGCACTTGTGCTGCTTCCTTGAAGAAGAAGGCTTCGCACCGTGCAGAGTCATCTTTGTTTGGTGCAGTTTCTGCTGCTTCTAGCTGCGATAGTTTTGTTGCAGCAGCAGCAGCATCAGCTGCTGCTGCTGCTGTACCAGTAGCAGCAGCTGATGCTGCTGCTGACCCTGGTGCTGCTGCTAGTGCAGTGAAGTCCTTCTGCCACTGCTGAGAGCTTCCATTGGGCCTAGCGCCCTGGTGAGAGAAGGAAACCGGCAAGGCATCCATGTGCGTATACACCTCGTGCTGCTGCAGCGCGGCTGTGCGTAGTGTGTGGTTGCTGCCGCTGCTGCTTTTCTCTCCTTTCTCTGGAAATATAAAATAAATCTAATTTACACAGTTTAGAGAAACAAAAGAGAAACACCGCCTAGGGGGCCCCCATAGACGAACAGGGGGGGCCCCCCTACCTCACCGCAGCTGGTGGTTATACAGGGGGCCCCTGAAGCTCATATACATATACACGATAGAAAAAAAAATAACTTAATATTAATGCGAGTTATTGAATTTAAATTTCTTAATATTTCTCAGCGTTAAGGTTTTTATTCACTCAAACAGACAAACGCCTGGTGAGCCGACTGTACACACAACCCAGGGCCCTCCCCGTGTTGTGTGTGTTTATTTCATTTATAAAGTGAATATATATCTTTTTATATGTCCCTAATAACAATTCCTTTTCTTCTTTTTTGTCTAAAAACAACAGACAAAGGGCGCATTCCTTCTGTTTCTGCTTATTTCATCGCTGCAGGGGCTTGAGCTGTGTTTTAGTGCTTCGGCGGCTCTCTCTCTCTCTTATATTCTTTTTGCCTGTGTTCTCTATTAAGCTGTGTACAGCTCCATTGCAAGTAGTTTTTCTGTGTTTAGTATTTCTTTTTCTCCATGCATGCAGCTCTGGAGCTGAAACAGAAAGAAGTGTAACGACAGTATACAGTGTAACTGCATACAGAGAAAAGGGAAATTTCATATGCTTGTATATAGGGATAGTAAGCAACTAGAACAAAAAAAGAAACTGGGGGCGAGGAGGACTGCTGCTTACGAGAGCGCCTTCAGGCCTTAACCTTTCCCTTGCTGTAGAACCAAGGAGAGTATAATATATATATTATATTATATAAACCTAACATCACTGGCTACTCCTATTAATAAACCTAACATCACTGGCTACTCCTCAGCTCCCCTAGAGACCCTTATTGTAGCATGAGTTAGCGCAGAGCTAGCTCAGGAGCCTTCCGAGGGTTCTGGCACTCTGTGTGTTAGCGCTTGCAAACGTTCTACATGTTCGTTCAGAGGCAAAGCATGCAGCAAAGGAAGCTTCCCTGAAGCTTCGTTCTGTGCACGCGTGGGGGTGGCTTGCACTGCCAGCCGCAGCGGGGTGCGCTGCAACCCCAGTTCTGGCTGCTTCCTCCCCGCCACACCCAGGCCCTGAGCTCGACGCCCAGGATGCCTAGGGACCGAGGAAGGATGTCAGCTGCTTTTGGGAAACTCTTGCTTTAAGTCTTTGCCTACATTGAGGCTCATCTCTGGTCAGATAAAGGCTATAGAACAAGCGTTACACTTGGTAGCACCCCATGGTTCATCGGGGCAAGGTGCGAGCCCGGGCCCGATCCCCACACGGGTGATATCAAGCACAGCTGAAAAACAAACGATCGCAAAAAATATATAAAAAATTTATTTTGTCCGTCCATTTATATTAAAATAAAACCCATTTTCTTTGTAGATGAAACCTCTCCCAATTTCAGTGCTCTCTTCGCCAAAATGGAGGTGGACTATGAG